CCAACACCAGCGTTCACACCTCCAACACCAGCGTTCACACCTCCAACACCAGCGTTCACACCACAACACCAGCGTTCACATTCTAAACACCAGCGTTCACACCTCCAACACCAGCGTTCACACCCCAATACCAGCGTCCACACCACAACACCCAGCGTTCACACCCCAACACCAGCGTTCACACCCCAACACCAGCGTTCACACCCCAAACATCAGCGTTCACACCCCCAACACCAGCGTTCACACCCCAACACCAGCGTTCATACCTCCAACACCAGCGTTCGCATCACAACACCAGCGTTCACACCCCAACACCAGCGTTCACACTACAACACCAGCGTTCACACCCCAACACCAGCGTTCACACCCCCAACACCAGCGTTCACACCCCCAACACCAGCGTTCACACCCCCAACACCAGCGTTCACACCCCAACACCAGCGTTCATACCTCCAACACCAGCGTTCACATCACAACACCAGCGTTCACACACCAACACCAGCGTTCACACTACAACACCAGCGTTCACACCCCAACACCAGCGTTCACACTACAACACCAGCGTTCACACTACAACACCAGCGTTCATCTCATGACGTCACCAGGTACGCAGTACCCTCAGTACCCCGCAACTCATGACGTCACCAGGTATGCAGTACCCTCAGTACCCCGCAACTCATGACGTCACCAGGCACGCAGTACCCTCAGTACCCTGCAACTCATGACATCACCAGGCACGCAGTACCCTCAGTACCCCACAACTCACGGTACCGTGTACCCTCAGTACCCCGCAACTCACGGTCCCGTGTACCCGCAGGTCTCTCGGGTACTTCTCTACTCTGAACGTGGCGGCGAGCGTGGCGGGGCTGCTGCGGGGCGGCGTGCCGCGGCAGCAGCTGGTGGTGGGGGTGCCCACTTACGGCCGCACGTGGCGGTGGGTTTGGTACTCATGTGGGTTAAATTGACCCACCTTCCTGCTATATTGCTGAGTATAGCAGCAACATAGTATAATATAGCAGAGTATAGAGTACTCTTCCTAAATGGAACTCGTGCTAAACTCCTAAATGTGTTAAATTGACCCATCTCGGTCAGCCCTCCATGTTATCTTACTCGCTGCGCGTAACTGTGTCGCACATTCAGATAAATAAAAGGGTCATGCTGTCCCAAAAGTGACACACTTTCATACCTGTACCATAAGCAAAAAGAGCGATAGTAGCACTGATATGCCGTTGTGCCGGGCGAAATATGGTTATCTATTTGAACAAAAGCCATTCATTTTTTTTGAGTGTAAATTGAATCTAATACACGGGCAGGCTGTTGTCGGAGCGGTGGCAGGGGTTGGGAGCCCCGGCGCGGGGGTCAGGGTTCGGGGAGGGGTACATTTCGTACCCTGGGGCCGTGGGGTTCACAGGGTCCGCGGACCACGTCTCGTGGGACACCGAGGCGCGCGTGCCCTACGCGGCGCGTGGCAGCGACTGGATCAGCTACGACGACCCCAGCAGCATCGCGCTTAAGGTGACCTGATATTCTATATAAGTTTATCTGGCTTTATATATTTATTCAATTAATCTTTATCTAAATATGTGCGTTCATTATTTTCAACAAGTTGCTCTTGCTTTGATATTTCGTCAATTGCTTTGATATTTATCAATTGTTTGATATTTTTCAATTACTTTGATAGTTATCAATTGCTTTGAAATTTATCAATTGCTTTGATATTTATCAATTGCTTTGATATTTATCAATTGCTTTGATATTTATCAATTGATTTGATATTTATCAAATTGTCTTACGTCAACATCGTAGTTGTGGTGCCCAGCTATTGTATTCAACTATTTTATATTGATTCAATATATATCATATTTCAGCAGATCAATTGCAGTTATCAACTAACATTAATTGCTGGTTGTTGATTTAACATAAATTGTTGAACTGCCCACTGTAACTCGTACATATGTTTAACTTATAATCATTAACTCAGTTCGTTGTTTAACTGTATTGTGCTCGCTGTTTTTAATTATTATATGTACAATTAACGTAATGAAACTGTTTTGTATTCATTGTAGTAAATGTACAATTATTGTAATGAAACTGTTTTGTATTCATTGTAGTAAATGTACAATTATTGTAATGAAACTGTTTTGTATTCATTGTAGTAAATGTACAATTATTGTAATGAAACTGTATTGTATTCATTGTAGTAAATGTACAATTATTGTAATGAAACTGTTTTGTATTCATTGTAGTAAATGTACAATTATTGTAATGAAACTGTTTTGTATTCATTGTAGTAAATGTACAATTATTGTAATGAAACTGTTTTGTATTCATTGTAGTAAATGTACAATTATTGTAATGAAACTGTTTTGTATTCATTGTAGTAAATGTACAATTATTGTAATGAAACTGTTTTGTATTCATTGTAGTAAATGTACAATTATTGTAATGAAACTGTTTTGTATTCATTGTAGTAAATGTACAATTATTGTAATGAAACTGTTTTGTATTCATTGTAGTAAATGTACAATTATTGTAATGAAACTGTTTTGTATTCATTGTAGTAAATGTACAATTATTGTAATGAAACTGTTTTGTATTCATTGTAGTAAATGTACAATTATTGTAATGAAACTGTTTTGTATTCATTGTAGTAAATGTACAATTATTGTAATGAAACTGTTTTGTATTCATTGTAGTAAATGTACAATTATTGTAATGAAACTGTATTGTATTTATCGTAGTAAATGTACAATTAAGGTGATGAAATATGTTGTATTTATTGCAGTAAATGTACAATTAA